GCGCTGGTCTCCTGGGACAAACGTAAGTGAAATAAATGAGATATCCTAACTCAGGCACGGCTAATTAATGTGTGTTCTTTATATGTACAGCCTACGGCTACTTGGAGGGCCAATGAAAGCTGGGTCCAGATGTGAGTTATGCATCTCTCCCGTTACTGTTATCGCAAACCAATTTGTCTGCTAATATGTTGGTTGGTAAAGATGCAGCCCTGCACCACTGCTTGGAGGAAAGGCCTCCACTGGGCACAGCTTTAGAGGGCCTCTCTAAAGGGCAGTTGGCCTACTCTTCCACATGGAAGAGATAGAAGTACCCACACTTTACCCCATTGTATGCGGCGTGCCAATCAACTAATTGTGGTGTATCTATTTATACTACTGGGTGTGCTTCGGCAGGGGTTTTGTATGTATGTAGAAATTATTTCCCAAGGTACATAGCCAACCGTGCTAATCGGAGGTGTAAGATACGTGCACCTTGTTTCAACTGCTGCACTGGGAGATGTAATGAAACCAGCGAGCTCTGCATTGCAAGTCTATTGCCGGTGTTAACCATTATGCAGCGACAGCATCCTTTCTAATAGCATCCACAAATCTGTCCCCAGAAAACCTCTACGGAATATTCAATACTTTCATTTTCAATTAAAGTCCTGCTTGAGGTGTAGTTCAATGGCACGTTTTGTGTTTTTAAACGGGGCAGGAAGCCAGAAAACTACCACGTAGGTTTGTCACGATTGCGCCGAACATCTCCTCTGACGTGTCGCGCGGTGCGTTGTCGGGACCGATGTCCGACGTTTCCCGTCACTCATCGGCAGCTCCTTCGCGAAGTGAATTCCCCAAAAAGCTCCCAGCGCGCGGAAGATTTCGCGTAGTTTGAATGTGTTGCTCATGCTCGCGCTCCTCTTGGCCTTTGAGTTACACGTCAAATGACTCACATCTCTCAGTGATAGTTAACGTACGTATGTGATCAAGTTGAAGAAAAACACAAAACAACCCGATTTGGTCATGAAACTCTAACGTAATCCCTTGATAATGTACTTGTTTACCAGTTATATTTCCTCGTGAAATTACTTTTTTTATTGCAATTAAAGCCGACGTTAGTTACGTGCCCGTTGCATCAGGGAATTATTAAGCGCTGCACTTAAAAAAAAAGTAGCGTGGAAAAAAAACAAGTTAGAGAACTTAATTGGAAACTGTTCTAATCAAAAAAGAATCACGAAATTTCGCTATGCGTGTCATAAAAGTTCATAATTTACAGTCATTTAAATATATCCATGCTGTGTCGGTGATAACAGTTTAACACGGCGGTCAGTGTGGCTGAGTGAAGGTGAGAGATTCCAGCACGGGGTTCAGACATCACTCACTGAGGTTAGCCACAGACGGGTCTCAAACTCATGCTTTGTCGGGTTCACAGTGATGACTGTGCACCGCCCCAGCCGCCAGTCGTGTACCTTGATGTCAAATGTTGACACTCCGACTGATGCTCCTGCTGTTGTGGAGTGACTCATGCAGCCAGCTATGGCTGCAGGGTTTGGAGATACATGTTTATTTCGTCGTTTATTGTGAAAATTCGGTCATAGTTCCTATGATCACTGTTTTATTGCTTTTATGGCTTTATTTTGGTGATTTTTGAAACGTTTTTCGGTTTGGCCATGTTTGTTTGTTGTAGTACAGAGTTAGACTGATGGGCTTAATCTGAGTTGTCTTGTGGTTGTTGCTGTTTGACTTGCATCCCACTGGCATTTTTGCACACAGTGTTGGTGTACGGTGCTTTTTCAGCAATATTTTGCTGTCTTTTCTTGGATTTTCTGTTTGCACATAGTCACTTTAAGATGATTCAAGAGCCGAATGGCTCACAGGGCTACACCTAATAAATGAAACTTGAAACTTGTTAATGTTGCTGGCTCTGCAGTGTGGGAACCGTTTGCTGGTCACATTAGTTCCTGAACGCAGTGGGCGTTTAAGTTTGCGTGGCGAACGACTACGGATGCATCAGCGGTAAAGCATTACTTTTAAGACTGTTCAGTGAGATACGTTTGTAAACTGTTTGCGAAATATTTGACAAACTTTGAAAACGAGGGCAAGTTGTAAAGTGAAGAAAACCCACGCGCAAATATGAGCTCATTTACCTCAATTACTTAAGCGTGCGTTTATGAAATCCTTAAGTATCATAAATAGCTTTTGATAGGTGCACCGACACAATTTTCACTGCGTGAATCACTGGAGTTCATAAAAAATAACTCATTCTGGTTTCTTAAGTATCGGTTTTATGTTTCGCGTGTGATTGCACTCACGCAAAGGTGTTCGAGGTGCCTTCAGGAGCGCTTAATCAAACCCGAGCTTTCAGCACAAAGGGATCTGCGCAAAGACATTGGCTTCACGCTGTTCGCAACCAACACAAAGGGTGGCATCGTTTGGTGTGGACCCTGACATTACGCAAGAGAATTCCGCCCGTTATCATCTTGAGCACAACGCGTACCGCAACGAGCTGGTTTGCATACGAGTGAGTTTTGTTTCGCTCATTGTTTTGTTTTTTTTAAACCTTGAGGCCTACTTTGCAACCTTCTTTGTTGTTATCAACGAATGTGAGGTGGTTAATGTCAACACTTGTGTGTTTAAGATTTTTCTTTCTCCGATTTTCCATAAAATGTACTCTGGGATCGTCATAAATAGCTTCGGTGGAGGTGTATATCTCCTTGCCCTTTGTTGTTGCAACAACTGTTATCACACACCGAGTTTATTTTTATACGGTTATATTTTTTACACCGTGTTTTTTTTTACATGCGTTATTCCGGTAGCTCAACAGAGGCGAGGACCATTTGCCGAGACATTTGCAAGAGACTCCCCCCCACCACACCCTCTCCGGCGTGAGATTTTTTCTTTTAAATAAAATTTACAGCCTTTTTTTTGTTTTGTTACACCCATAAAATATCACTGGTGGTGGTGTGGTGGGGGGAAGCACATCATTCTTTTGCGGGGGTGGACACTATAGAACGTGCACCGAACGCCCCGCTCGCAGTAAATTTCATTAGTGTCGTGATTTACGCTCAGAGGTGGGGGAGGAGGGTAATAAGGAGGAATGACCGTTCAGAGTCGTAAATTCGAGTGAGGTGGGGTGGGGGAGGAATAAAAGTCGCAGTCCCACACCAGGTGTTGCGATATTCTTACGCGGGGTCGACGACTCACTGGCTCCGATGTCTCGGGCTCGTTGCTACGTCGGTTACGAAGAGGCCCCCCCACCAACTTGGGCACATTTTGTACGCGATCGAGATCGTTTGCGAAATCTGTGTTGCCTTGAAATGAAACGTAGACGCGTCCATTAATGAGAGAAGGGCAATTAATAGTTGTTTGATTTGTTTCCATGGTTTACGTGGGAGACACAATGCATATTTGAAATCAATTTGTCGGCTATAATTAAAACGGTTAATTGTTTCTGGAGCCCACACTGGTTTACTGATGCGTACTGCAGGAGCAAATTAAATTAAACATTTCTTAACAACGTTTGCTGAACATTTTCTTGTTCAATGGACAAAAAACTTTGAATATAAACATATATTTCAATTAATATTCTATCTGCAATGCCCAAGCGTGTATTGAGCGTTGAAAAATCGGCAGCTATGTACTTTTATATGATTTGAAGCTTTCGTGACTGCAGGAATTACTCTTCGGTTCTTTCGGTAAAGTCACGTGGAAAGAAAATAAATTAAATAATGGAATACGACGTTTCTATTGCAACACAAGCAACCGTCATCAGGTAGAACTAAATTGGGTCTCTGTGTGTCTATGTGCTCCAGGAAATGATGGAGATGGCAGGGGGGGGGGGCGTGCAAGGGAGGAGGAATGGGTGACCGTGATAAGAGGGTGCTGAGTAGGAGCCAAGAGAAGGGACAGGAAGAGACTGGGCAATGGAGAAAAGGTGAGCTTTAAGCGGGTAACGGAAAGAGGTTAAGGGTGACGAGCTATGTGTGTACATTGAACTTATTTATCACCATACGGAGCCAATCGTGTTAATCGGAGGTGCGGCGGGGGGCGGGGGGGGGGCGATAGGGAACGACAAACCGCCTTGCCGTTCGTTACTGACTCGAGAAAACCGGCCACATTGATCAAAGAAGGCGTCTCCAGAACCTTGGACTCGCGGCACGCGCCCTCTGACGGCTTGACGAGCGCCGTTGGCTTTAGGATACAGAACGTGACCCACCTTGCCGCCTCTGGTTAGCAGAATTTGCTCAAGTGTTTTTTTTGTGTGCAGAGTTTGAATTGTTAGTTGATTTCGATAGGGGCATTTTATTCAGTTCAACACGTAGGCTTTTCTATTCTTTGGGTCTTTCGGTAAAAGCCACGTAGATAGAAAAAATTATAAAATCAAAATCACGCCGTTTCGATCGCAACACAAGAAATCGACTAATATTATCCATCATAGAGGTGGTTAGGGTTAGATCGCATTGTTTTATGTACGTGACAAACCTTACTAATTGGCTGTGTCAGGTGGTGGCGGGCTTAACGACACACATTTATATTTACGCGATCTCATTCAAAACAAACCTATATTATGGGATATATTTATTTTTATTTTACATGCTTATGGTAAGTCAAATATACATTCATCTTCTTGGTTCTTTCGGTAAAGTCACGTAGAAGGGAAATAATAAAATAATAAAAATAAAACATAATAAAATGACATTCTCACAACGTTTCGGCCACAGGTTGAGAAACATAGCTGTCGGAAAGAGTCTTTCCGACAGCTATGTTTCTTCACCTGTGTCTTTCCGACAGGTCTGTTTCTTCACCTGAGGACGGCTGCTTGCGTTGTGGCCGAAACGTCGTGAGAATTCCATTTTATTATATTTCATTTTTACTCTTTTATTATTTCCCTTCTACGTGACTTTACCGAAAGAACCAAGAATAAGAAGAAGAGGAAGAAAAAGAAGAAAAAAACGGAAAAAGATTATCGAGAGCACTCCCATCCCGACGGAGCGTTGCGCGTCGCTGGCTCCCGGCGCGCTCACCGGTGTCGCGGGCGAAGCGGGAGAAGTACTCGATGCCGCTCTCGCCGTAGTTGTCGTTGGCGGCCACCGTGCTCACGTAGTTCCAGCCCAGGGCGTTCACGATCTCCACCATGGCCTGTGCCTGGTACGAGTCCGGGGGCACCACCCGCGAGAAGTAGTCGTACCTCGTGTTGTCGCTCAGCTCGGGCGCTGTCGAAGCGTAGCTGATCTGCGGTATCTGCACGATGCGTCCGGGGGGGGCGGGGGTGGGGGAGCGGGGGGTGAACGAGCGTGACAGGCCGGCGTGACAATACAATAACGCGGATTGGATTTATGTGAGGTCCAAATGCTTTTTGTGACCCCATCGATCCTTTTGACCTCATCGACCAATGTGGGCACACTTGACCGTTTGGACACCCTTGCCGAGATTACTCGCGTCATCATGGGAAATGCATTGGAAGCGAGGGCAAAGGGTGGGAAACCAGATCGTACATTGTCTGATGCCACAAAAAGACATGTTGATGAAGAAGAGAGTTTTAAAAAAATAGGTGGAGGTGCGAGACAAAAGGCTGAATACGCAGAACTTCGTAAAAATGATTACGATGAAGGGCTCAAAGACTGACACAAGTCAGACCAGGACTGAAATTGGTCTGGTATTAAACTGAATTACTCCCATGCACTGCCCAGAGCCAGCTTTGCAGCTTCTCAATCACTCGTACATATTTTAATGACCTTGAAATATATCGTCCACTAGCATTTATTTAATGTTGTTAGGGTACCTTTGTTGGGCTTTCACAGCCACAGGCACTTTAACACTTAACTCCTAGAATCTTTCGAATCTTAAGTATCCCAAGTCCTCTGCTGATGTCCCACACATCACAAACGACAATTGGCATTTGAAAAATGTCTTGTGGCGCCACCCCCCCCCCCCCCCCCATGCCAACCCAACCAGAAGTGTGTACCCGCTCTGGTGCGTCTGCCCCGCAAGACCAATGCACTTTTTTGTGTATATATATACAATCTAGATTTGAAGTTTTCGTGAGTGCAGGGATCCATACTCTTTGGTTCTTTCGGTAAAGTCACGTAGGTATAAAAAATAAAATAATTGTATTTTATTTAAATTGATTTCATTTTTTTATTTAAAAAAAAAAATATTTATTTCATTTTTTATACCTACGTGACTTTACCGAAAGAACCAAAGAGTATATATATATACAACATATAATTTATGAAATATTATATAACTATCGGGGACTGGACAACAGACCGCACAGGCATTAATGTAACGGACGTTACATTGACGGAGGAGACAAGTAGCATAACCTGCTTTGTGAGGAGAGTCGGGGTGCCAAGGTGCATTGTGATCAATCGCAGTGTGGGAACAGGTTAGGGCCACGATTTAAAGCTTTCGTGACTGCAGGGATTCATCTTCTTGGTTCTTTTGGTAAAGTCACGTAGAATGGAAATAATAAAATAATAAAAATAAAACATAATAAAATAATTCTCACGACGTTTCGGCCACAACGCAAGTAGCCGTCCTCAGGTGGAGAACAGGTCTGTCGAGAAGACAGGTGGAGAACAGACTCTGTCTCCTCGACAGACCTGTTCTCCACCTGAGGACGGCTACTTGCATTGTGGTCGAAACGTCGTGAGAATTATTTTAATGTTTTATTTTTATTATTTTATTATTTCCATTGTGATCAATCGCTGTGTGGGAAAGAACCAAGAAGAGGTTAGGGCCAATCCCTCACACCAGTGTAGCATCACTCGGAAGCCAGAGCCCCTCCGTTCTATCCTGCTCAGTGCACACTGCCGAGATGTTACGCTGATGTGATGTGATTTGCGAGATAGCGAGTCGAATGCGGCGGTGATCCGACACCGGGGGCACAGCGCGTCTTAACGGAGCGCTTGTTATTTTGCGACGCGTGTAAATACACAAAGCATTACAATAAAACGTCGAAGTCGTGTTGACAAAAGCCGTTTCTTGGCCTTTCCCTAATAACAACAACAACCGAAGACGTTTGGCCAGATTAATGTTTACGCTTGGATGTGCACACTCGAAATGCCAGCTGTCGTGGGTGATTTGCATCGTCGTCACATGCCACGTGATTGTGCATGGCTGCGTCTCCATGCCGCCCGAACGAGCTTGTGTTTTAATTATTCCCGGGTTCAGATTGCTACACGCTAATTACCAAGCGAGAACGGGTCTGGTAGTTATTTGAATGCGATTAACAACGCGACGCCTGATATGAAAATGGTGTGCCCGTGTTTTACCTTTACAATGACGGACCAGAGACGGGGGTGGGGGGGGGGGTCACTATTGCCCCCCCCCCCCTCACCCTCTCCCCCAACCTCACAAGATTCAGGGTCACAATTTGATCGAGTCGTTATTTGTTTTAGAGACTGCTGTGAGGACAGTGGCCGCTAACGCCCTGGGGTCGTTCGCCGTGAAAACCCCCCAAAAAACGCACTCCACGTTTCATTCCGACGGCGTCGATGTTCACGCACGCGCGCAATTCTGGTGCAAAGTATCGTGACATTAAGAAGCTACGCGAATTCATAAATCCACGTATCTCGACACCCATATTACGCTCGTACGCTGCTCGCACTGTGAATCACGGGCAGCCGGCAGCCTCTGAACGTCAGCAACGCCAGTCCCTGCATTGTCTAACGGAATCTGCAGCGTTTTATATATATTTTTGACCCATCTCTAACTAGTTGTACGTACGTAGAACTTCTTTTGCGCCGTACGTAGCCAACCGTGCAAAATCGGCGAGGCTGAGTTGGCAGGATTTTGGCAGCTGAATGGCTCATTACAGGCTCGCGCGAGGTTGCTGCTCATATATTGTATAACCTCAAGGCCCCCTAGTTCGGACGCTGCGCCCCAATGGTGCACTAAGGCTTGGCATTGAGGACTTGACTGAGTAACAGCGTTGAGAGCTGCGAGCCATCGACAGAATCAGAAGACAGGAATTGGATGGAATAGCGCTGCGAGAGTGAAGATGGCAGAGACGCGCGCAGGCAGCGGAGAGATATGACACAGAGGCAAAGATGTATTCAGAACACGCGCAAAGGCAAAATTCCCTAATACCGCATTGGCAGTGGTGCGCAAGTATAAACAACAACAACAACAAAAATCAACACATTCATCAATAGCTCTGCCCCAAAGGTATAACAAAAAAAAACACATTTGGTAGGTGATATTTCTGGCAATGGTTCCTCTCCATAGCACACATATAAGATGTATCATTGGACATTCAGAACATACATTTAAGAGATGCATCCAAAAGAGACGTAAGAGAGATAGAAGGCATGGGGTGTATTTGGAACAGGAAATGCATGAAAGAGGCAAAACAATGCAAATTAGCATCCTCCTACCTCCAAGATGTAACGTGACTCCAAAACCAACATGCTGAACAAGACAGCGAATATCATGATTTCACATTAATGCGGCTGTGATAGAATTACATTTAATAACCAGCTCAAATCCGCTGAAGCAGAGGAAACTTCCCATGTGGGCCCTAAATACCCCCCAAAAGACTAAATATCCAAAGTATCTTCTCTGGGAAATCTAAATTAATCCCAAAATGCGTGGTCTATAGGGTGAGTGGGTGGGTAGTCGTCTCCCGTCCCTCGGATTCGCCACTGCACTGAGAGCCGTTTTTGTTTGTGGCGCCACGGTAGCGAGATGTTAACTCTATCGCCTGGTATGCCGGAGATCGTGGGTTTGATTCCGACCCTGACGTCTGCTGTATATTTCTAGTTTGCGTGTTCTCCCCGTGGTGGCGTGAATTTTTCTCCGGGTCCTCTGTTTATTTGCTCAACATTTAGAAGAGTATTTGGCTGCGATCAATTTCCACGTGGCAAGCCACTTCGTTGAGCAATCATTTGTGGCCAGGTCGCTTCTGAAAAAGAGCTTAATAGCTCAGTGGGCCTTACCTTGTGAAATAAAAATACAATTGTGTATAGTGCGTATATTCAGTTTAACACGTAGGCTTTCGTGCCCAATATCCATTATGAAGTTTTTTTTTGTTAGATCGCATAAATATAGCAAGGCTCAGAGTGATGACATCACCTTTATTCCTCTATTTAAGATCAAAACAGGAAGACTTTTTCAAAATTCTGGCTACTGCCTGATGAAGCTGGTTGTTGTTATCGCCAGCGAAGCTTGGAACTCGAATTGTAAATGTTGTTCTTTGCTCTCCAACGCAGCGGTGTGCTGGAGCAGTAACTAATTGCCACGTTTTGTTTACGTGACAAACCTTACTAATTGGCTCTGTCGGGTGGTGGTGGAGGGTTATTGACGACATATTTATATTTCCACGATGCAACCCAAACCCCCCCCCCCTCCTTTATTTTGGAGTGTGCATAGTTTTTTTAATCGTAAGCCTGAGTGATGCTGCGGCTGGCCGGGTTACGCGAGCTCGCGGTGCCAGATTCAGCCCCGCGTGTCGGAGGAATTTACACCCAGCACGCACGCTCGCGGATAAAGCGACGAAAGAGAGAGGGGGGGACACAGGTTGGACACAGGGTGGACACGGGGTGAGGAAGGCCTGTGACGTCTGCTCCCTGACACGTTAACTGCAGTGCTGTGCTCGCTTCTTCTTCTTCCTATCGCTGTTGCTGATCTAGAGCAACAGCAATTCATTTACTTGGAGTGGAAAATTGCAGCCTTCACGTGGCCCACTCTGTTCAGTGAGAAATCACGACTAATGCAATGAACACGGCCACCGAACATCGATTAACGATCTCCCGGTCTCCTGTGCAACAACCATCCTCGACACGTTCGCACAACCTGGGACATCAAAATAAAAAGATACAGACTCAATCATGACATTCCCATGGTAACCCTGGACGCAATCAGCCTCACCTGGCAAGGGTGGTCATATTCTTGGTTCTTTCGGTAAATTCACGTAGAAGGGAAATAATAATATAATATAATACAAATATAAAACAATAAAAATTCTCACGACGTTTCGACTGCAACACAAGCAATCATCATCAGGTGTGAAATCTACAGCAAGAAACATTTTCTTGCTGTGGATTTCATGTCGTGAGAATGCTTGTATTGCAGTCGAAACGTCGTGAGAATTTTTATTGTTTTATAATTACATTATTTTATTATTTCCCTTCTACGTGACTTTACCGAAAGAACCAAGAATATGAATCCCTGCAGTCACGAAGGATTTCAATCAAAAAGGGTGGTCATGTTATGCGCACAGCCTTTTGTCAATCCACTGCTGGATGGGGGAGGCCCTCATCCAGCAGCCCTCCCCTCGATATGGTCCTGCACTTTGGCGCTTCAGAGGTGACAACAACACCCCACCCATGTTTGCTGTGCTTGAGAATCTCCACTACCTGGGCGGGGGTAGCCAGCGGTGGCGAGACCCGGCCAGACCCGGCCACCACAGCCACCACAACCACCACCGAAGGTAAAGACAAATATCCCCCGTAAAGCCTTAACATACTGTTGGGGCAAGTGCTCTTAACGAACACTGATTAAGGCTGGCACAGCACACGAGGGGGTTAGTGGCCGGCACCACGCCAGGCCGCCTTTGTCTCCCCAGTGGCGATGTTGACGCACCGCACCAGGTATTCGTTTGAGGCTGAGTCGACCTAGGGGAGGCCAAGTACCCGTTAAGATAATCGTCACTGTTGTTAGCCGTGAGCGGGAATCGAACTCGGGTCGCCACACAACCACCACCACAACCACCGCGACCACAACCACCACAACCAACCACCACTCTACCACTACAACCACCACCAACCACAACCAACCACCACAACCACCACCACTACCACAACCAACCACCACCACCACAACCAACCACCACAACCACCACCACCACCACAACCACAACCACCACCGACCTTGAAGAGGCGCAGGATGTTGGCGACCATGATGGACACGGAGCTGCCAGCGGCGCCGATGACGCCCACCACCTTCTCGGGCTTGGCGAAGATCGGCTGCGCGTTGTTGGTGCACCGCACGTCCGCCGTGTCCTTCTCGATGAGCGCCTGCACGAAGGTGAGCGACTGCTCGAGCGCGTAGGTGTCGCGCGAGCACGTGTCCAGCACGCGCGCGCCCAGCGTCACGTTGGGAAGGATGCGCGGGTCGGCGTTGATGGTGTCGAGGGCGTAGAGCATCGCCTCCAGCCGGTGAATGCCCTTCTCCATCTTCAGGGCGCCGCACATGGCACCGCGGTCGCCCCGCGCGTGCACGGGGAAGAGCGCGCCCAGCGTGATGTCCCCGTCGAGGCGGATCGAGTGTGCCAGGACTCGCTGCTCTTGGGACGTCCCACCGGGGCCGAGGGCCGTCGCCGTCAGAATCGCAGTCAGCAGCAGCAGCACCGTCGTCGTCGTTACGAGAGAGGCGGCGGACGTCGCGTTTGTCAGCGTTCCCGCGGAGGTCCGTGCGCCCGGAAGGGGCTTTAGTCGCAGGGTGGCAGAGATCGAGGGTCCCGCGAGGACCCATCTCCGCCTGCCACTGGGGGGTGGCATGGCCCCACCGCTCCCCTCCTACACTGCCCCTCGATCGCCCGCCCGCCCGCTCGCTCAGCGTCACTCGTGCTGTCTCTTTGTAAATGGCTTCGAGAATCACTTCTTCCCTCGCCACTCTAAAGCTATCTCGGACTGGCCGCGTGTATAAATCACGCAGCTTCTCTGCGTCCCTGCACCTTCAAGTCTTTGGCTCCTCGTATATATATTTTTTTAGTTTGTAGCTTTTATTTTTTAGTTTTCACTCTTAATGTGCCTACGTCTCCATGTCTCAAGGTGCGAGGGGGGGGGGTGTTTAAGGCACGTGAGCCCTGGGGGTCAGCCACGTTTTATACTCTCGCTTCGTCCGCAAACGGCTATCATTTCAGCACCGAAAACAAGAGAAAAGACGGATTGCAGGATAAGGAAGGCAGTGGCATTCGTGCCCTTAAAATGGGAGCATGCTGCGCGACAACTTTTAATACTGGCCACGGTGTGCGAACATTGTTTCAAACATTCAATGCGTGCTCGTTAACTTTTTTTTTAACAAACGTTTAAACTACTCCAACCCTTAAGAAGTGGTACCGATATTCTATTGGGAAACCGAACTTGATTACCTATACAGTGTAAATATATACGTCTATTATTTTAAACACTCAACTAAATTTCTTCCACCAAATTGGCAAAGCACCCAGCGTGAGCTCGCCGGGCGAATACGCGTTGATACCAGATGCATAATTAAGCCATTCGCCAGCTAGGCTAGCAAGCGCTGCCAGAGAGACAGAGAGACGCAGAGAGAGAGCGAGAGGGAGTGAACGTTCAGAACTCTTCGGGTCGATGTCTTCCGTCTGTACGTCCGCGGGCTCCTGGACAGCGGAGATGAAGTGGCGCCTATCTCCCGGCTCGCTTACAGCCGGAGCCGCCAGAAACGGATGGCAAACGGCCTCTCTCTCTCTCTCTTAGACACCGCGACGGCGCCCCGCTGTAACGATCGCTTCGTCGCGGCTCACCGGGGCTCCTGTTCCCAGCCTCTTGTCTGCGCCTGGCACGACGGTGACGACCACAACAACAGCAAGACACGAGGCCCTGTGATTAATCGCGTGAAGGACCCACGAATGCCGGGGTGCGGATGGGGCCAGGGTTGTTCCTTTGTGTGGGTGGTTGAGATTTAGTTTTTATTTGGAATTAATGCGTTGCGGCATACCCAGGTCCACACTCGCCTTGGTAAAGCCCAAATGGCACCGAATGTGCCCAATATGGATGCATCTTTGAAGCCACCCAAGTGGAGAGTTGTCATTACAGGGAGAATGCAGGCGTGCGCTACGAGTTGGCTAAGCAACGGGCTTACAAATTATTTCTAAATCGATCGGTTACAGCGCTGCGTTTCCTCCCGGGCTCGGGTGGGGGTTTGTCCGGGCTGCCCGACTTTCATTTGCACGTGAAGCTAAACTCTCATTCGTGGAGCAGTTCAAACATTTCAATGCGGAGCCCTCCCGAAAACGTCTCGAGACTCTGCGAGGCTCTTCCCGAGGCAAATTGTGACCGTCAATGTGCACGTGCGCGAAATCGGAACGAAACCGCCAACTGGGGATGTGTAAGTTAGTCAGAAAAGTCACTGAGCAATCCCACCCCCACCCACCATTCTTGCTATTTAAACAGCAAGGTCGATAATCCGGCGCTCATACGCATGGCATCAGTCAGAGTTGAACGGAAACGGAACGTCAATATAAATCTTGTAAAATGTTGCGACATGCTCAGCTTGCCGGGGTTATTCGACATTAATATCCCTGCAAGCGTGGCACATTATGGTTATGTTAATGGTGGCATTTCCCCCCAGTGTATTTCCATGCCGCTCTACGGATGCTTAATGTCAGAAGTTTCACGTGGCCCCGTTGTTTCTCGTCATTTTTTTTGCCACTCCACGCGTGTCAAGTCGACCCAGGGGCTCGAGGCGTGCCAGCGAAATGTAAATAGCGATGCAAATGTGTCAATGAATTGCGCTTACGGCCCCTTGTCAGTCCACTCTTGGGATGAAAGGGCTCACCGCGCACGCAAGTCACCACGCCGAAAGAGGGCCCAATCGGCCGACACCGTCTCAGAGAGCACTCGCCACTGATGTCAGCCGTGTACGGGAATGAATTCCGGTTGCCAGGGTCGTTGGCGGGGCACGCTAACCACCGTACACCTCCACTCCGCGCTGCAAATTAGTAAGACGAATATATTATCCCAAGACGGTGCGTATATATATATATTCTTAGATTGGTACCCAGCTACAAGTTTACGCTAAATTATTGCGGCGTGAGGGTCATTATTTATACGCTCTTTTTTCATGACCTATAAATCTTCAGCCTCTGGAATAAAAAAAAAATATATAAAAATGTATTGCTGCAGTCAACATGAATGTATTTATGAGTAGCCCGGGTGGGTTTATTTATTTATTTAGTTATCTGCGTCTGCTGCAGGCCGAAGCAGAGTGCTAAGATAGGGGGAGGGGTCGGGGGGGCGGGGTGCAGGGTGGCTTGCAGGTTGAGCTCCGAGGCCCACTACCGCGTGCCCATCGCCGCGCGCGTGTGTGTGTCGCGCGCGCGTGCGTGTCGCGCGCGCGTGCGTGTCGCGTGCGCGCGTGTCGTTGGCGCACCATCGGCCCCCTTCTCACGGGAATTAATTTATCGCCTCCGCTCGACGCACGCGCAGTGTAACTTGCACGGGCCTTCGAGATGCATTCATATTCAACGGTGACCCATCCCCTCCTCTTTCCGCGGCCCTGCATAGTTTTGTGAGCTGCAGGCTATCTCTGCAGCTTTGCATCTTGCACGGAGATCCTCCTGGCGAGGGTTTAAAGGCTGCGGCATGCACAACGGCGCATGACTGTGGGTTGTCCGTCCAACATTTGGTTCTGTGTTTTGATCTTTGGTTTATCGTTATTTCAGAATTTATATACATATATGCCGCTCGATGTAATATCAAAACTGGGATAACCCATTTGTCTCTTAATTATAATATTTCACTATGCAATAATAATAATGATAATGGGGAGGGATGGGCGGTTAATGTTTTGGTCTAGGGAATAAAGTTAGGGCTTGGGTTGGAGTTAAAATGTCAACTTAAACAATAAACATGTTTGTTAAATCTTACCAGGTAAGGCCCACTGAGCTATATAGCTCCTTTTCAGAAGCGATCTGGACACAATTGATAGCTCAGCGAAGTACCTTATCATGTGGCTATTTATACCAGGCAATTATCCTAAACGCATGTCGATTGTAAATGTGGAGGGAAAAACCGGAGCACCCGGAGAAAAATCCACGCGACGACGAGGAGTGAGAACATGCAAACTCCAAATATACAGCAGGCGTCAGGGTTGGGATCGAATGCACGACCTCCTGCATACCAAGAGAGGGAGTCAACATATCGCCACCGTGGCGCCACAACATCTGGAGATATTGGGAAAGGCTCATTATCCCACCCAGAATCGCGGAGCAGATGGCCTCTTTTCTATCGACCACTGCTCTGCTGTGTGAGGCTGGTAACAAACTCCCAGTGGCAGATCGTGGTTCCAGGCAACGATGTCGACCTCGGGGCTTCCCGATCTCCGGCGATAGCGTGCGGAGGGTGGAGTTTTTCAGAAACTGGAATGCGCTAGAAGGGGATTCGTCATGCGGGATTTTTGACATAGAGGCCTATAAACTCGCACAACGATTCATAGACCTCAACAGAGACCCATAGACTCGCTCGGAGATTCATAGACCTACATAGAGGCCCAAAATAACTCGCGTACAGTAGAGATGGGTAGACTCGAACGGTCCCACAGACTCCACATAGAGACCCAAAATTGAAACCGGGACATGCCGGCAGTGGCTTCATCGTTTGCCAATTACACCAGTTGACGGGCGCACGCATTGTTGGTATCATCATCATCATCACCACGACCACCACATATCGCATGTGGGTTTTAATGACCAATGAGTACACCTCCACGACGCATCATCATCCGAAACTGAAAAACACGAGGTGGACTTTATCGCCTGCCCAACACAGAGCAACAACCACCACCGTCAGGTCCTACCCATTTCTGGGAACCACTCGCGCCAAAGTGATCTATGCCATGCTAAGTGCTGCTTGCATGTAGGAGTAGTTACAGGTTGTGAACGTTGCCAGCTCTTGATTTTGCCTTGAGCGTCACACTCTTCCAACAATAACTGCACGTGCTTGAAATCATGAGTGGGTGTAATACAGTATTATGCGTCATTTGGATGTAAGTACCCTTCTAAATATGTAGAGGCAAACTTTGGTCGAACTAGGTTTGAGAATAACATGTCAAAAAAAAATGTTCCCCCACCCTCTACCAATTTTGGAGTGCCTACATTTGCAAGTTTTAGCCTTTTTTCAAAGTATCTGATTGTTAGAGGCAGAGTTTGCAGCAGTGAACGTTGGTGACTATCTTGTACTGATGAGGATGAAAGCAGTCTGTGGTTGTCTCTCTGCTGTTGCTGCTGTGAGTCGATCACATGGTGATCAACAACTGTTGATGTTTTTTCCCCCACAATGCACGAGTCGGAGTGCTTTTCGTGCACGTGTCTGTGTGTTGTTCAAAACTTGTGGTTTTCCGGACAGCGGATGGCTTTTTTTCCCTCTAATGATTGGGTTCCTTGTCATTTATAGATTTTAGTCATAAATCACGGTAGGCTCCATTATATTCGTGCCGAATTTCAGCTTTCCATCCCTTACAGAACATCATTAGAATTTGCATCAGTCACTCACGGATGTCTACATAAAGCGTCCGAGATACATCAGTGGCAGCGGCGGTAGACGGTGCACATTACCAGCATAGCTTCCATGACATAGCGACTCAGATTTCAGGATGCCCACTGCGGTGAGCGTAGCCGAGCCCTCCCGAGTTTCATGCGGCGAGCGTTGAGACGGTGAATCTGAATAAGGATGTGTGTAATGGCCAAATAAACACGCAGAGGATGGACCCTGTCCTTTCTGCTCCCCAAGTCAACCAGACAGGACAGGGGTGGAACTGTGGCGACCGGTCAGGTGGCGCCCTAATGTCGTGTCACACGCTCGTACCAAGGCTGTACGGCGTGGCTCCAACTCGCCTAATAAAATCGTTGCGCTAACGGCCTCGAAGCGACAACTCTGTCGGGGTACTTCATCTTCTTTGACACCGTCGTTGAAAACAAATCTCATGCTGGTTATCAAGGGGGGCCCGACTCGTAGCTTTCGCCACCAGGAGAAGGGGGGGCAGGTACCCCCTGACTGCCCGCACGCTCGTCATGCTACTGGGGTGTAGTTACCTCAAGCAGAGGGGGGGGGGGGGAGAGCTTTGACTTCGCTGCGAACGAAGTTGAACGTACACACCGGTGTTTCACTCCGTGTGTGTGTGTGGCATTTTTGTTTGCGTGCGACACCAATATCAATACGTCCCGTCACTTGCAAGAGGCCTTGGGACACGCGTGGGCAACGCTGGTGGACGACGCGGTGTTCACCCGGAAGAGGTGCTGCACGTCGAATCTCGTGACAAACTTCACAGGCGAGGGGTCCCGCGTCGAGCACGTTCGGCCCAATGACGTTCAGGAGTTAGTTGGCAAATGTGAAAGGTAAACAGAGAACCGCGATGAAACCCTCCACCCCAGCCCAACAGTGTACGAGGAGGCGATGCTGCAGAGTCTGGTGGTACATGTTGTTCACGTCGTTTATTGTGAAAATTCGGTCACAGTTCCTATGACCACTGACTGTTTCATTGCTTTTATGGCTTTATTTTGGTGATTTTCGAAATGTTTTTTGGTTTGGCCATGTTTGTTTGTTGTAGTACAGAGTTAGACTGATGGCCTTAATCTAAGTTGTCTTGTGGTTGTTGTTGTTGTTTGACTTGCATCCCACTAGGATATTTGCACAGGGTTGGTGTACGGTGATTTTTCTGCAATGTTTTGCTGTCTTTTCTTGGATTTTGTGTTTGCACATAGTCACTTTAAGATGTTTTTTTGTTCATGTTTTTTTGTTTGTTGCAGTTGCACCCGATTCAAGAGCTGAATGGCTCAC